TGCTAAAGACTTATGATATCCTTGCAAAAAGAAGATAAAAATATAATTTATGCACTGCAGTTTCACCAAACAACTTTTAAAAATGAAAAAATTTTACTTTCTGTGTTTCATTCAAACTTTCACATTTCATCTCTAACAAGTATATTCTTCAGTAAATCTGAAACTACCCTGGCACTTTCATATATCATATACATATATCATATATCTTCATATATCTATTGGTATGGTAGTATACCACATTTGCAAGCTGTATTCGAAAAATGAATGTAAATGCAAATGCATCTTTTGAGTCACTGAAAAATGTAAACACTCTCTCCAGCACAAAAAGTGTTTAAATTTCCACGCACCAGAAGCAAGGCTCTCCTGCTCCCTATTAGTGCTGTGAGTGGGGTAGATGTAGGACTTCTGCTTCTCCTGTAATATGGCACTGGTGTCGATTGTCAAGGCCTGGTTAAGAGTAACCACCTCATATGTAATGAAAACACAGCCTCTGTGGAAGCAAACATGATCTATTCAGAATCACGTATTTGTGAGGGATAACAAATATGGCTTGATGATATATTACTTGGAATGTTCCATTATTCTTTGTCAAATGTTATTGATGGCTTGTCAACATGCATGCAAAAAACAGAAAACAACACACCTACCCAAATACTATAGCTCCAGTCACTTTTGCTATTCTTCCTATACACAAAAGAGATGAATTCCAGCATTCAGAATTACTCAATTTCACAAAACAATAAACCATATAGTATATAAGGGCCAACAGAATTGTAGCATAAAAAAAAAAAAAAAAAAAAAAAAAATATATATATATATATATATAAAAGTATATATATATATATATATATATATATATATATATATATATATATATATATATATATATATATATATATATATATATATATAAAAGTAGTTTTGGTTTGATGTTTTAATGTTTTATTTATGTATTTATTAATTATCTAATGATTGATATATGACATTTCACGTTTAACAGTATAATTTATAACTGTTGTGATTACTTGTATTTTTTTTGTGGCAGAAGATATATCATATGGAAGGTAATTCCTGCCGATTTTAAATAAATCAAATAAACATTGGAAATTAAAATGAAAATCAGAATAACAATTTCATTATATAACACTGTTTGCAAAATATTTGCCAAAATTAAAAATAAATTATTTAATTTACATTTTCACTGTGACAACACATCGTCCGTGTCAAATCAATAATTAAAATGAAGTTGCTGATTAAAAATGTAATAAAAAATAAATGAAATAATGAAAAAATAAAAAACATCATTTTTTTTGTGATGATTATATTAGAAATTGTAATGTTTTTGATGGGAATTCAAATAGTCTCCACTGATTTTTATTTATTTTTGCCTTTTATGGTGGTATGCTAAAACCAATCAATCCTAATAGCACAGTATATGTTCCGAAACACATTAGAAAATATTACAATGTACTGGTTTGGATGGTAAGAAAAAATATGATTTAATGTTTTAATGGTATTTGTGGTAGAAACCAAAAACCCTTACAACGGTTGTAATGGGTCTTTTTTTCTGCAGGTTATTGTTATTATTGAAGAGAAAATTTAGGCTGTGTGTCAAATCCTTACTGATGTCTCTCCATGGCAGTGCTCTCTTCACGGCGGGTCCGGAGGTGCTCAGCCTCCGCACGCGGATCAGTCTCAGGGCGGACACAGACATTGGCGGTTCACTCGCAGATATCCGACGATCACACACATCAGACTAGGCCAGAAGCCAGAAGCCCGGTGTTTGTGATGGCTGGTGATAAATATTATTCTTCACACCTCGTTTATAACCTACATACTAAAAATTAGCAAGAAATGGTGGAGAGGTCATGAAGTGAGTCACTGTCGGCTGTTGTTTTTTCAACATATGAGCCACTACCTTTACAACACAGCCTGATGATTTCTTACTAGTTAACGGCTCTCAATGGTCTCACATTAATGACAATTCCTCATATTTTGAGATTTAATAATCAGTCGGCTTGTGCATTAAAAACCCGAAATTAAATGTGTAACGTTAGCATTTGAGCGACATAATGCATTCTCTGTGTTCAATATTGACATTTAACGACTAAAACTGTACGTTAAATGTGTAATTTACCTATGAAAACTGAAGGCTGTTCCAATAAACGCGCCATAAAAACACTTTGACAGCAAATATAAACAGGAACTGTTTTCAGATTGAACGCACATGAACGTAAAGCGTCATTACCGTAAACAACACAAATGTCAATGTCACGCGTCAAAAATGTCCTACCGTAATAGTCTAATGGGCAATCAATTTTTATTTTTCTTCTCGACCGGTGTACAGCACATTCTTTCAACTTAAAGCAGCTGAGAAGATCAGCTGGAATCTTGACGAGATAACACTCAAGACTAAACAGAGGAAAGCTATCTGTCTAATCACAGCTGGTTCGGTATGTCCACAAAAAAGTTGAATTCTTTGCTCACATTTTAACCTGTTGAGACAATTCCTTCCTCTTGTCAGGGAAATCTCCTCACCCATGGGTGTGATGCATGAATGCCAGGTCATTTCCAGGATGTGTGTGCTCTAAACGCTCTTCGAAACACGTTGGCAGCATATTGTTTTTTTGTCCTTGGTCTTTTCGGTTCTCAATAAGTTTTATTGTCGGTTCACTGACACGTTTAGACATTTGAATGGAATGTTCACCTGAAAAAGATTGTTTTCATTATCATATATTACCTTTATTTAATCACATTATTTTATTATTACAGTATTAACTATATGGTTAGTGTAACAAAACAACTATTTGTGTTTAAAATGGTTAAAAAAATGATATATAATTGATGTTGTGCACTATATATATATATATATATATATATATATATATATATATATATATATATATATATATATATATATATATTATATAGTGCTCAACATAAATGAGTACACTCCATTTTGAAAATGAATATTTTTATCCATTTCTCAGTGAATATAGGTAATATGTGTAATATATTATGGTGCATTTAAACAAAACAGATTTATTAAACATATATATTTATCAAAATAATAATTTATTCATCTAACATCTGTAGAAATAGAAAGACAACACATTTAAATTAATGTGAAATATTGGGGGGAAATTATAAACTACAAAATTTCAACAACAAAAAATAAATGTTTTGCTTCTTGAATTTTGCTCTTTTTTTTATTTAAAATTTTTCCCTAACATAAATTTGGTTGTATAAATTTTGGACCGTTATCGTAAGTTATTTTGTTAGATTAGCTCCAGATTAAGCTTCAGTCAGTACTATTACATAATATTGTAAAGCTATTTCCTATAGAAAATAATCATTTAAATTTAAAAAAGATTTGTTGTGAGGGGTGTACTCATTCATGTTAAGAACTATATATATATATATATATATATATATATATATATATATATATATATATATATATATATATATATATAAACAGTTAAAGTCAGAATTATTAGCCCCCAGAATTATTAGCCCTCCTGTTTATTTTTCCCTAATTTCTGTTTAACAGAGAGAATTTATTTCAACACATTTCTAAACATAATAGTTTAATAACTCATCTCTAATAACTGATTTATTTTATCTCTGCCATGATGACAGTAAATAATATTTTACTAGATATTTTTCAAGACACTTCTGAATAGCTTAAAGTGACATTTTAAAATCTTAAGTAGGTTAATTAGGTTAACTAGCAGGTTAGAGTAATTAGGCAAGTTGTTGTATAAAGATGGTTTGTTCTGTGGACTATAGAAAAACAAAATAGCTTAAAGGGGCTAATAATATTGACCTTAAAATGGCTTAAAAAAATTAAAACTGCTTTTAACCTAGCCGAAATGAAACAAATAGGACTTTCTCCAGAAGAAATAATATTATCAGACATACTGTGAAAATAGCAAAAAATGTCCGTGCTCTGTTAAACATCATTTGGGAAATATATATATATATATATATATATATATATATATATATATATATATATATATATATAGTTGAATTCAGAATTATTACCCCCTTGATTTTGTAATATATATATATATATATATATATATATATATATATATATATATATATATATATATATATATATATATATATGTATGTATGTATGTATGTATGTATGTATGTATGTATGTATATGTGTGTGTGTATATATGTATATGTATATGTATATATATATATATATATATATATATATATATATATATGTGTGTGTGTGTGTGTATGTATGTATATGTATATATATATATATATATATATATATATATATATATATATATATATATATATATATATATATATATATATATATATAGCTTCAGTTATGAAATTATGCTTCTTTAGCAGTCTATCGCAAAAACCAACACAAACAACACTTTTGTGCTCTATAGGAGAAAGTAAAATATTCAGTATTCAGGTATATTCAGGTAAATTTCTTTGTATGGTACAGTGTCTAACATAGTAAGATAAGGGAATCTTTTTGAGTTAAAAAATAACATCATGTTGCAAACAAAAATCTATTGCAAAATGCTCTGTGTCAGAATATTTTTATGATTACAGCTGCATTGAGAAATACTTACAACCATTTCAAAAGACTAGAGTTCCCAGAAAACAAACCAATAAATACAAAATCTAATGAGTCTGGTGCAAAACAGAGTTATAACAACTGCTTGGTCTAGGAATTGCAATAACTGCTTTATCCTCTTGCTTACCTCAACCTTCCTTATCTCTTGCTTTATTTATCCTTTCCCTGTTTCTCTGCATCAACATTCTCATCTATCAAAAGCAGATTGGCTTGATAGTCTTATATAGTCAGAGCAGTAGAATTCTTACTGTCTTTTTCAAACATTCTGATACAAGTATTTCACACTGACTTTGTACACACACAGAAATATACACACATACAAGTTTGAAAAACTGGCCATGTCAATTAAAGGCATACATTAGATGTCCAGTTTTCAAGTCTATACATGAATCTTGCCCCAAAACTGCAGAATCTCCCCTATTTTAATTTACGTGGTTGTCTCCTGATAGGCTCGTATGATGCTGTCATAGGCAGGCGGTGGAGTCTGGCCAGCATGGAAACCTCTTAGATTGCTGTTGCCCCAGAAGGAATCTGGTCTGTTTCTGGCCCTGGGTGGAGTGATCATAGAACTGACGGTGCTGGTGGATCCAGCTGCCCCAGGGCTGGTAGTGAGAGTGGGGGTCCTTGGCAGGCTGCCCTGGGCACCTTCCTCTGCCTCGCGAGCAATCTGGCTACACTGGAGAAGAGGATGAAATGTTGAGGCCCGGAAGCTTGATTTGCGACCTGTTGAGTCTCCATAGTCTATTGGCGAGGATGAGGTCTGCCGGTGGAATGAAAAGGCGGCGCTGGCCAGACTATTATTACTGCGCCGATCGTAGCCACTGCTGTGCCGACTGTAACCCAGCCGAGATCGAGGTGAGGATGAACGGGTGGTGGAACGGGACTGGTGGACAGGTATGCGGGTGATGGTGGCCGAGGCCCGTCGACGGGACATCCAGGTCAATATCATATAGACCAGAGCTCCAAGCAGAAGACCAACAACCATAGAAAGAAAGAAGGCCAGAATCACATCCGCTGGAGGAAGAAAGGAAAATGGTAAAAACATGTTTTTTTAGCAAGCAGGCAGCACTTATGGGATTAACTGAGTGGCCACAAAAGATTGAATACCCTTTTGGCAAAGTTTGCTTAAGACTGGGAATGTAATATATGAGTTCTGCTCAGACTTTTGTCCCGATTTGCAGTCTGGCAATTAGACACCAGTTGTTATAAGAGTTATAAGAGCCAGTTTGCAGATTTGGGGCATTCTGAGATGACAGATTTTACATGCACTATGCACCAAAACTTTTAGCTTTAAATTTTGGATATGCTAGTCAAACCCAAAGTACAGTAGTCAATATTTGTATTAGTGGATCACAACCATTCATTAAAGTTGTCATAAAATTATTAAACAACACCCATACTTGTCTTAGGACTATTTTAATCAACCTTTTTTGATCCATTTCAAATGTTGACTACTGTATATTTCAGCTGAAAGAACACTATTCTTGTGATGTAATTTTAATCATCAATAGATGTGTCTGTGGATGTTTCAGTCATCCATGATGATCTGCACACTATCCACTGGATGTATTGTTGTCATTAACAATGTTTACACATGCACTTTTGTAATACTGAGCCTGATTTGACGATTGTGAATTCACAATTGAAAAAGAAGAGACAGCAGAACAACAAAATACTGTAAATAACAGTATAAATAAACTAATAAACAAATGTTAATAAGTGCACTCAAGTGCATTTTTTGGAGTCATTCACACATAACGTGTCTGTTTCTAAAAACGTGAGATGCATCACTCAGGAATGTAAAAAAAAAAAACTCCTCTGTCATGTTGCCATCAAATAAAGTAGTTGTCATACCATTTTCCTACTGTAAACAGAAGCTTGGAGTTCTTCTTATTGGTTTGCTGCTTTGGAATTGAATATTTTAATTTGACATGGCAGATTAAATATTTTTGCACTGCAAAAAATGAGCAGAACACACAAGACAATAGCAGGCATCATTTAATCATGTGTTTAAATAGAAAAACAATAGAAAATGAATTGTATTGTAAGTTCTGTGTGAATGGCTCCTTATTGCTGATCACTTTTAGAGAGAAAAAGCACAAATACTGGACAAAGATGTATAGCTCTAGTGCGCATGTAAGTAGGTCACATGAGCATCATTGAGATCATTTAATGTAAAACATACAGTACTCTCATAGTTTATCACATAGCAAATATATAATTTTGACCCCTCTATAAATAAATAATATTGTTCTTTTTAAAATCTTTTTTTAATAGTGTATTTAAACTCCTGCTTCTCTGCAGTCCCTGAGCAAACTTGCCTTATTCAGTTAAGATGGGTAAAGAAGTGTTGACGGCATGCTGCTCCCACTTAGTGCCTAATAGCGATATCATTAAGGACATGCTTGAAGGTCAATTACAGCGCCTAATCTGGCAACTCAAAGTGGGCATGGCCAAATTCCACAATAGAAGGCACACCCAATGTTTTCTTATTCTTTGCAGCTTAAGTGAATTATATAGTTGCATTTTATGAAGCTTCCTGTTATGGCGTTCCATTGTCCAGAGAAATACCGATTTCATTTGACACTCTTTCATCTGATGCAAGATTGCATTGCACGGAATTTGCATGGATTTTTTTCTTAAAACAAAATTAGGTCAAATAACATATAGGTATTCATAGACAGATCCTCCTGTTAGTCTTATTAATTTAAGTTACCACAGCACAAAACTTTTCTGCACATGGTGTGAATAACATGACATCAAAACACTTTAGAGGCTTGTGTGTAAACTAATGTGGATTTTTATCTGCAATTTTCTCCCAGGGCGAGAGGAATCACAGTCCAGAGTGAAGGATCATCTGGAAATGACATTTGGAAAGACTAAATGGAAAAAGCTGCACACTGGCGGAGTTGTTTTTTTATAGACTACATTTGCCAATATATTTTGCCGCAAGTTACTACTGTCTGCATTTCTGTTAGAGCACAGAAAAAAGCTCAACTCTTTTTCTACACTCTTCAGATTTTTTAAAGAGGCACAAAGTTAACAACATAGCATTGTAAGTATTTTTATGCAAATGCCAGAGAAAACGCTTCATAAAGTGTATATACAAACAGTAAAATATCTTACTTAATCCGAAAGACTCCAGGATCTTCATAATAGGATGAGTGCTGTTATCCGCCATCACTCCCTCCAGAGAAACGGGGGAGACCAGAGAGGACACAGTCTCTCTCCTCCAACTCTTTCGTCCTCTCACTCCCGCTTCCAACTTTTTCTAGTGTTTCTGCCAGTGTGTGTCCAGCTCTCCTCTTCTAGAGACCCTCCTCTTTCTCTTTCTTTCTGTCTGTCTGTGTGTGTTGCTCTCTTTCAGCCCCAGACTGTTCAGCTCCGGCTCACAGGATCCTCTCCAAGGCCAGGGTCGCTACTCTGTTGTTTGTGGAAAAGCAAAGTCTTCACTTCACGTTTCCTGCCTTTCCTGTGTAAAATTAGCAGCAGGCTGTTCTTATCTGTGCAGACCAGGGTTCCTGTGGGATGGATAGGAAAGGGAGGAGGGCACAAAAAGGAGGAGAGTCAAGGTGTGTGTGAAATCATTTGCTCCTGTCATTTGTCCCCTCTCCAGCCGGCCAAAATTCATCATATTTTACTCTTTGCTATTTCCTTTTTCTCTTCCAGACACTTGGCATGAACAATGAAGGCTGCTTTGTGTCACCACTGATGGCATTTCGCCAGATTACATGAGACGAGCCACATAATTGAATTTTGTCCAGATGTATGTATATTTATTTTTATCAATATTGATATATACTGTATAAAATTATATAAAAATAGCTGTTTACCTTAATCTATTTAAATATGTCTTTAAGGCATACCTGTCAACATTGGTATGTGAATTAAGGGATATGCCCACCATAACACCTATCCCATTACTAATTATGTTCATTGGAAGATGTTTCATTGTAAATAAACAGTTAAACAGTCAGTAATGTTTTATTATTATCAGAAAAAAATAAATAGTATACATTAGCAGCAAATAAATTAGCAAACAGTTTAGCTTATTAAAATTAATAGCTATTATAAAGAAATACAATCATGTAATCAAATCTCATTAATCTTTTCTTCACTGTATGACTTACACATTCTGATTAAAGAGCAATTAATAAATCATTTTTTTCCCTTTGATTACATATAACAGAGGTGTCACTTTAAAAGTGCAGACACATCTAACATTATAATAAAATCAATTGATTGTTTTGCTAACTTGTTATGCTCATTTATAGGACAAAATTAGTTGCGTTTGTAAAAAGCCCCATCAAGATCGACATCTTTAGATGTTACAATTATTAATTATGTGTATTTGTCTGTTCAAACAAGCACCCAAAACCCAGACTTTCTCTCTGCATCAAATCTCATGTACACAATCCATTTGGGAAACAGCTGCTTTTTATTACTATGGAGCTTGTCAGATGACTGTCACGCACCGATATATGACTGTTTTGAGAATTGCATAGGAGAGGCATCAATAAAACGAAAGCACAGAACAGACCACAGACTCATTTAAGAGCAAGGGGCATCCCCTGGTGGTTCGGCGGTATAGGTTGTGTGTATTATTGCCACCCTTCATAGAAAGAATGAAAATACAGAAGAAATACAGGAAAATACCTTTACGGCATAATAGCGGGATAGAACTATAAAATACAGCAGAATCCCGGGAAAAAACAAGAGGGTTGACACGTATGCTTTAAGGTAAAGTTGTATTATTTACAGTACAGAACATAAATTTAACAAAAAAACATGCCAATATATATATCCTTACATACATACACTAATCAAAATGCACATACATAATTACCCATGTATACATATAAGGGGGGAGGGGCAAATACATAACATTGCTATATCTTTTCTCTTCCAATTGCTATTCTCTAAAATGGGGATGTCTTTACGTTCCATATATATCAACCATTCTTTCCAATTTTTCCTGAAATAGCCATTTTCATCCTCAACATTAATGTCAGTTTTTCCATTACATGAATTTCTTCAATTATCTCAAACCACTGCTTAAGTTTCAAAGTTGAGTCTTTAAGCCAGTTCCTTGTTATAATCTTTTTGCATGCCACAAGACGAATTTTGCACACATATTGGTCACCTCTGGGGACAGTGTCCTTAATGTCTCCCATAAACAAAAATAGTGCAGTCATAAGAACCCTGTATCCAAACACCCCAAAAATAACAATCTGTACATTATCCCAAAATGGTTGAATTTTCCCTCTACTTCAAGGATATGGGTATGATCTGCTTCTGCCTGCCCACAGTGTCCCCAGCACATTTGTCTGAAGGTCTGGTTGCTTTTAATCTTGGGTGTTATGAAGATGCATATAAGGCATTTCCAGGAAAATTCCCTCCAAAGTTGTGAACTATGGTAGTTTGGTGTATTTCTCATATATCATACTCATGCAAATCTTCTTCTGAGGTTGTAGTCTTTATTTTTTTTTATCTCATTTACTTTTGCATGTAGAGTATAAGGGGACCCATGACTTAACACAGCATAAACAGAAGAGATTAATTTAGGTATCATGTAGTTATAGGCATTCCTCATTATTTTAGTGTGTGAAGAGATATTGTTTATTCTGATTTTCTTTAGTTTAGTGGAATTTTAAGCATCATTATTAGGCTTCATTTTCACAAGATTCTTCACAAATTATTCAAATGTTCTTGAATAGTTTTTTTAAGTGCTAAGGAAAAAAATGTATAAAAATAGTAATCATTAGTATCAAACTACCAATGTTTAAAATGGTCTTTTTCAGCTTATGAGGAAACATACTTTATTAAATTATGTTAAAAATGTCTACATGTCTACAAAACTGTATTTCTTGTTAAATTATTTGTTGAATTTTGATGCATTTATTAAAATAATATGTAATATAATATAAAATAGGACAAAAATAGGACATAAATCTATTTACACTAAATTTAAATAAAACATAAATCTGTAAAATAACCCGATAAGTAGAAGGCTTATTAATTATGGTTTATACTAAAATTTACATACATAATGCATTCATTCATATCTTAAAAATGTCACCGAATGTATATTTGTGAAAAGTAAAACGTAAAAAGAGATTGTTGTTGACTTTTACGATATCTTTTCCACATATAACCTCAATGTAAACATACAAAAATAACAATCCCATAAAAAGTTGGAATCCATCATGACTGGACAGAACAGACCAAAATCCTAAAAACCCTAGCATATTTTTATGTATTTCATAACAGTATGTTATAGCACAATTTCTAAAATTTTTGAGCTTTCACTGTTCCAGTTTGTCTGCTGTAGTCTTGCTGGTCATCTCAATGCTTCAGATTTTCCGAGGCGAGTGCCAGCTCTGTGCTTGCTTATCCTGACCAGGCTAGTCTTTGAAAAAAAAATCCTGATAAGATTCTGCAGAAAATGCAGGATTTTGACCCAGACCAGACCACTTTCACCTTAGTGAGGTGTGTGTGTGTGCCTTCCCTTCCTAGTGTTCACTGAGGGTATCTGGAGTTAGTGATAACGTATGGTTTTAGAACAGAGCCGCTCATCTATGGTTGCAGGACCGGCCCAACACTGACATTTCCTCTCATTGTTGCTCAGTGCTGTAGACTGCAGATATCAGCTGTTGCCTTATTCATTTCTGAAATATACAGTACATCCCAGGCTAACATTTTCTGCCTATTGCGTGTTTTACATTTAAAAACCTTGACCAGTCATTCATGAGTTTATTTATTTATTGATAGTTGAGCTTATTCACTTTGAATGCTTTCCCTATATAACCTAAAAAAATCTTTACTAAATATGAATATTTATAAATATTTATCAAGCAAATTAAAGTAAAGTGGCCAAAATGCATTCATAGAAGTAGCTTATATGAGAAATAAAAGTCAAATGCCTTATTTTATGTGAAACATAGCTTGCATGAGCCATGAAATCTTTTTTAGTATAACAGTATTATAAAAATATTATATAATGAAATATCAAATGTAACTGTGAGGCATTATCTCACAATCACCATCTGGAGCGATCTTTAAGATAACTCTTATCATAACCAAATTTTTTATTTTATTTATATTCTTGTTCTTTTTTTAAATATTTCTGTCACTATATTTTATATAGTATTATCCAGTGTTTATTTTATGGTAAAGTACTTTGTAGTAATTATAGATAAAAAATAAAGTAAAATAATTAATAATAAAATAAATATATCTAAAAAAGTAATGTGTGTAATGAATGAATGAATCATAGACTTTAATTGAAGGTGCTGTAGTCGGGAGTCAATTATTCTGCTTATACTATAGTTGCTACACATAAAAACAATGTTGATACTTTTTTCTATTAGTTGTTCTGATATTATACTTCAAGTCAGGTTTCTGTCCTCAAACCACTCGGAGTGTGCTTCTTGTGTCTTAGAATTATATAGATGTAAGAAATTACACTAGATGAAACAAATGAAACACCCTGTACTCGAGGTCTGCGCTGTAATTTGTACACCAGGTGGCAGTGAACACCAATGATGCCTATAAATCATCAAATAAATACATGAATGACAAAACAGTATTGCAATGTGTGTTTACATTTTAAATTTTTAACTTAGCTGTAACAGTATATGTATATGTGCCTCTAAAATTTTATTGATATTATAATTATTATTGTTTTTATAAAAATGATATATAGGTTGACGCGGTGGCTTAGTGGTTAGCACCGTCGCCTCACAGCAAGAAGGTTCTTCTCGTGTTTGCGTGGGTGTATGTGTATAAATCTGAGAGTGCTTGGGTGTTTCCCAGTACTGGGTTGCGGCTGGAAGGGCATCCGCTGTGTAAAACATATGTTGGATAAGTTGGCGGTTCATTCCGCTGTGGCAACCCCTGAAAAAATAAAGGACTAAGCTGAAGGAAAATGAATAAATGAATAATAATATGTATAATAGTATATTATATAGCATAATAGTATGTAATAGTATAATAGGGTGACGCTGTAGCGCAGAAGGTAGTGCTGTTGCCTCACAGCAAAAAGGTCACTAGTTAGTTCCTCCAGGTGGTCCGGTTTCCCCCTCAAGTCCAAGACTTGCGGTACAGGTGAATTGCAGACCTGGTGCAGTGCAACCCGTTACAACCTGTTACAACCTGTTACATGCTTATAGGAGCTCCAAGCTGGAGGGCAAGATTTTTCAACTGACTGGCATTCATTTAAAATATTACAAAATACCCAAACTTTCATAGGATGTCCTATGCTTTTTCTCTCTTCAATTAATTTTTTGTTGTGATTTTTGTATTGTGTATTTCTTATAAACTAGTTTTTGGTGATTTATGGAGAGGGGTCTGGATGCAGGTGCAGTGCAACCTGAGCTGCATCCAGCGCTTTTTAATGTGCTCACCTAACCCCACCCCTAACCCTACACGTCACAGTGACATCACTCACGCCATTGAGTGGATTGTGTCTGACATTGCATCGCTAAGTGATGCAATCTCAGCTTGCATCATAAAGGCTGCATCCAGATACTATTGGATTTATGTCTTTTTTTATTTCCTTCTTATTCTTTACTATCTTCACTTGTAGTACAGCAGATGGCGATGTTACTCTTTTGAATTTTTTTGCCGTCTATTCCCTCAATTTAATGCATGCACTCAGATTTTTGTCTGATTTGCATTTCAACTATTTCCCAGGGTATCACTATTCTTGATCTTATTTGTTTGATTGCTCATCAGCATGGAACCCCTCAGTCTTGTCTTGTCTATTTCCCAGGAAATCATTTAGCACAATGTGATGCTGAGCGGTTTGTGTTGGACACTTCACCATGATGGAGGATACAGAGGCTTCATTAGGCTCTTTAAAAAACGTAAGTTAATGATTATAAAACAAGATCCTTAGTCACTGACTTTGCTTTGGTCTATCTCTTTCCCTCTTTCTTTCTCCCTCTCTCTCTTTTTCTCACATTCATCTGCAGTGACCGTGTAAAGGTCATTGCTAAGCATTGCTGTTTGAAAAGCAGCAGACTCAGCAAACTCAGCTTTCTGAATCCAGAGCTTAACACTCCAGTCAGGAGTTCTGCTTTGCTTTTTTTCTATAACATGCATGTGTGTGATTGAACCAGTAATGGAAGTGAAAGGCACATTAGTGTGTCTCTGGTGGGGCAGCTTTTTTTTTTTTTGGCCCCTCTCGAATTTCACTTAATGGAGTGCCATGCATAAGTTATGCCATGTGCCAGCATCTTTCACATTTTCCATAGGTGCAAGCTCAGACATGTAACATTTTAATCTAATCACTCAGTGTAATGTTGTCTGGCTTAGCTAAAGTAGAACAATCATTTACAGCACAGGCTTGCTATTTGTAGTGTTCATGGGATGTTACATGCTTATAGGAGCACCAAGCTGGAGGGCAAGACTTTTCAGCTGACTGGCATTCATTTTTACTAATGTGGTGCGAAGTGTATTAAAAAAAAAGTCAAATTTAGGAAAATATGATCATCCCTGATACTGTGTGAGGAGGAGCCCCCATTCTAAAATGTAAACATCATATATAGATTCACCAGCCACTTTATTAGGTACATCTAACTAGTTCCAGGTTGTACTCATTTTTGCCTTCAGAACTGTCCTAATCCTTCATGGCATAGATTCAACAAGGTACTGCAAATATTCCTGAGAGGTTTTATGTCCATATTGACTTGATAGCATTATGCTGTTGCTGCAGGTTTGTTGGCTGCACATCCAATGCGAATTTCCCTTTCCGCCACATCCCAAAGGTGCTCTTGAGATCTGGTGACTGTGGAAGCCATTTGAGTTTCTGAAATACTCAGACCAGCCTGTCTGGCACCAACAACCATGCCATGTTCAAAGTCACTTATATCACTTATATCACCTTTCTACCCCATTCTGATGCTCAGTTTGAACTGCGGCAGATCTTGTTGACCATGTCTACATGCCTAAATGCATTGAGTTGCTGCCATGGGATTGGGTGATTAGAAATTTGCATTAACGAGCAGTTGGACAGGTATACCTAATAAAACACTTTTTTTTTTTTTTATAAAAACCCAATTTATCCTGTAAAAATAACCATAAAACAGTAAATATTAATATATGTACAATTCTTTGTTTGACTTATATAATTTAGATTATTTAATTTATTCATTTAGAAACTAGGATTATGTTCTAATTATTTATCTGTTTTATTATATATCAAATATTTTCCTTATTGTTACACTGTAAAAATATCTGTGTATGACCAGAATCTATGTATTAATTTTATTTTGTTTATTTACAATTGTAAATTTATTTCTTGTTATATTTGTATTTAAAGTATTATTATTATTATCATTATTTATTTTTTCTTTTAAAACAATTTTTATCATCATTAGGGACCTTAATCTCCGTTATGTTTCATTTTAATGGTAAAATAAAAAAAAACTCAACAAAGTATGCAGCTTAACAAAGTGACTTTTCATGAGGTTTTAGCAGTCTGAAACAAAATATTGTATAAGAAATAATTTATAGAAGATTGTGAGTTTATTACCAGGTTTTTTAAATGTAATTTACAACACCGAACCAGACAACACATCACTTCAAACTATTACAAATGCCATTAAATGTCCCTTTTTCAATTTTTTTAACACCCAAAGCTGTTGGGGGAAAGATTAAGATCCCACAATGCAATTAAAAAATAAAAAAAAATAAAGACATCATACAGATTTTACAGAGTAGAGCTAAACACAAATAGAAGCTTTACAGTCCTGTACTGCAGTTCTGAGTCTGTTGTGCCCTCCAAGTCACACTGCGCCTGTCATGTGACTGAAAACTATGAATTGAACACCCTGTACTTGAGAACTGCGCTCTGATTGGACACCAGGTGGCAGTGAAAACCAATATTGATGCCTAGAGTAGAGACTCAGAGCTAGACTCAGAGAGAGAGAGAGCAAAGGGAAGAGGCTGTTTCCTGCAGAAGCCACACAACTTCAAGCAGAGGAAAGAAAGCCTTGGTTTGCCTGGCATGCACTGATTTAAGCATTGATGCTTTTCAGGAAGACTTTGGACTGATCCCGGATCACTGAAGAGAAGTGCATCATCAGCACCACTGACTCTGAATCAGTGGAATGGCATCAGCTCAGCGCTATGGCCGTTCAGACCGGGAGATTGCCAATGAGATGCAGAGGCTGCAGGGTAGGTGCTACGCATGCTTTCTCTTAAAGGTGACCCTGCCGCTCTGGAGGATGACACAGCATATGAGCACATTGCCTATAAAGCCTGAAATCACTTCTGGAGTACTTGGATTGTGGGGTTTGTTTTTAATGCAGTGCAATCAATGAGATGTTTCTGCAGCTGTGTGTTATGATGAGACTTGTGATGATGCAATTCCCAGGATTGGCACAGTCGCATGCCAACTTTACGGTTGGTTTAGAGTTGATGCTTTGCGGCGCTTGTGACGTCTGCTGTTTGCTAAGTCATCCTTGGGGAGACTTTCTGTCCTGGAACTCGAGGAGAGTTTGTTGCGGATTCACAAAATATGAAAACATTATAAACATTTAAGGGGATTTTTTATACTTTCCTTCTACTAAATAATCAAAATTGCTAAAAAATGCTGTTTTTGTCTTGTTTTTAGACCAAATATAAAAAAATTCTTAAATAAAAGAGCATTATTTAGCAAGTAAACAATATTGTTTTGTTTTCAGAAATCATAAGTTAATTTTTTTTGAGGTTTTACTTTAAACAAGCAGAAATAATCTGGCAGTGGTGTGTGTAAAATAATATTGTTTTTGGTTTGAAATAAGATTATTTTACTTGATTCATTGGCAGATTATTTTACTTTTTTTATATACAGAAAAAACTCACTTATTTTTGACTTATTATTTGCAAAAACCAAACAAATGTTTTTTGTTCTAGAAAATGCTTCTTGATTTAAGAATTTTTAGATATTTGGACTAAAAAACAAGACTAATAGTCTCTCTATTTAAGAAATACATTTTCTGTCTTTGTCTTTGCAGATTCACAGCATCATTTCAGAAGTTTAATGGCATGTTTGAGCATCCTTGGTCTTTTTTTTTTTCATTGACCTGGATTGTGTGCCCTTTGTGTGGATCACTTTAAGATTGAATCATGACTAGAGAAGAGAGAGCGAGTAAGTGAATGAATGGAGAAATGAGATTAGAATGAAGGATTGCACAGAGAGAAATCAAGAATGAAGAAAGTGAGGGAGAAAGTGTTGCAGAGCTGATTCTGTGTATACAAACAAGTTGTATTGTAGGGTGTCACTATACTGTACATTACAGTAATTATTACATGATCTTTTTGCTTTGCTGTATTTAGAATTGTTTAAAGTAAAGGTTTAGGAAGATATCATCAAATATCATTGTTCACTCGCCCTCGTAGCCCCAGACCTTTACAGTGGGAAGCATAGAAACTTTGGGTAACATTCTTTTATTAAAAAAAAAAAGAGTTTACTTACAGCATAGCACATTCTCCCATTAAGTTTGTATTTTATAGATCACAACTTTCACATAGGAAGTGTCATACACACATTTCCACCCCTCTGTGTACAACACATTTATAAATGAGACCCCTAATTAGGGTTGTACGATTAATTGAAAAAAGATCACAATCTCGATTCGACCGTACACACAATCTTAATTCAGCTTTTCTAAGATTCAGCCAATTAAATTTTCAAGGTCGGGAGAGAAGCTTAAAGGTGGTCGCACAATTCTTCACAGGAACATGAACACCTTCCAATGGCGTCAAAAGTTTCACATACTGTATTTATAAGGTATAATTCACCCAGAAATGTCATTTCTGTCTTCATGTAATTCATATTCGCGACCGCGAAATCACACGTAAGCTGACCGCGAGCTGTTTGTTTACTGCTGAGAATGCGAGAGTGCACGCAAATGACGGCTACTTTTGTGAACAGAACCTGCGTAGGCTGTGAATAACAGGTAATAACGTTGTAAATAACGTTCAGTTTGTTGCACAGATCTATCATTTGAGAGCCGTGCTGAAAGAATGATTTGCATGTGTGTGTGTGTGTTTATCACAGTGACGGCAGCCATGAGCCGCACCTGGAAGTGAAAATGAAACTAGCCACACATCATTTAAATGATCATATTGCATTTTACAGTTATGATTACAACAAACATTTGATAAGTTTTTTTCTTTCATAGCTAACACATAGTGTTGTGCATGAAAATAAATGTTTATCAGTGTCAATATGACTAGCTTATATAATGGCGAATATAATGCAAGAAGAAATCTGATAATTACAAATGTCTGATTTTACCAGTGAAATCAAATGATGTAATTATGCTGTCAATGACAAATGACAAGCATGGATCACAAACTTAATAATTAAATTTTATAATTATGAATAGTTGTATTCAGATTTACTGTGAATTAACAAACAGGACATATTGAAAGTCTGTTCAAGTCCACCATGATGACTGTACAAAATTTTGCATTTTAAGCAACAGTAGACCTACACATAGGCCTAAAATTATTAGTGTTGTTTTACCATATCGTCACCTTAGAATTATATGGTTCTGTCTGACATTTTTGTCAAAATTGAGTTATTGACATATTCTTATTAAATGACAAAATATTTTCAATATGGGATGTTTTTTATAAGTTGTTTACATTTTAAGACTTGAAAAAACCAAAGCAGAAACCAGACACAGCAGAAAGCAAAAGCAGAGCAGTGTGTTGAGTGTCAGGCGGGACTGATGGTGTGTACAGATGAATGTGAGGGCACTGAATCATGTGATGCTAACTATGTTATTCAGTATGCCATTACTTTCATATGCCTCATTGGCTGCAAAATTAAGGCAGAGCTGCAAACACAGCCATGATCACATGCTTA